ATTTATAAAAAGAATGCCTTTAAAAACCCAAAAAAGAATACAAAATTAATGCGAGCTAGCTAGTATATCTTTCTAATGAAAAAAAAAAACTAAAACCCAAAAAAGAATTAACAAATAAATACGAAGCTAGCTAATGTATTATCTTTCTAAAGCATTCCATTTCGCATCTCCGATTTTCCTTTCATCATCAACAAATTTTTTCCAGTTACCAGTGCCCTCTCCACACTTGTGACATGTTCCCTCGATGGGTTATTATTGTTGCGTCTCCGGCACGAAGAAGATGACGAAGAGGCTCTGGATTAGCACTAAAACCCGCCAAAGATGATGAATAGCCGTACTGGACCATACAAGAGCAGCAAGGGAAGAGTTGGGCAACGGAGGAAAGTGAATGACATATTCACGGCCACCGACGTTACTCTGCGCAGATGAACCGGAATTTCATAGAGGGAAGATTTCGCTGGGCACTAACCATCCAGAGGAACCCATGAGAATGCAAAAGCTGTGCGAAAATGCAGATACCAACATACTAGGATGCTTGAATATAGTGTTCCCAAATGTCGGTTAGCAATCTCCTGTTATCAAAATTTAGTACCAATAGAACTGCTCTGCACTCTGCATATATAAATAATACATACATTAAAAAAAAAAAAATTCAATACATAAATAGAAAGACGATGGAGAAAAAGAATTGTTACAAGGATTACCTGAAACACAATCGATGGTTGCCACCTCCCCATAGAACAGGGGTTTCCTCCCCACCTATCAGTCCCAAAAACAGAGATAAATGTGCAAGAACATTTCACACACCGGTGATCGATGGCCGATGCAAAGCGACGCTTGCTCTGAAACCCTAATGGTCTTGAACAGCCACAGGAGCGTAGAACATAACCACATTTGATCCCAGTGAGTTTGCTGAAACATGGGAATCAAATAGCCAAAAAAGCGAGGGCCTATACTTCCTCATTGGATAGGTCTCTCCATGGGTGTTCCACTTCCTTTGAGGCGCACTCGGCATCCACCAGATCGTTTGAACTCGGCTTGGACGTCGGCGGACTTCCACGGAATTGCGCGGGAGCTGCTTCTTGGCTTTGTCCAAATGGCCTCCTCGAATGAGGGGTTTGGGGTTCGGAGACCCAGAGAGATGAGAAGATCATGTAGGACGGCTGGAACAGCGGCACCGCCCAAGCTGATGCGCCAGCCCAATCGCCCTTGATCATGTTGGTGAAGTAGTTTGGACCAGACCGGCATATCAGAATGCCGATTGTTTATGATGAATAGTTTGGAAAGCAGACGTTGAGGTTCCCGCCGGTATTCTATGTGGAGCCACTCCGATACAACAGTTGCCATGACTGTAAGTAATTTGAAGCAAACAAGTTTAGAGCTTTCGTATTGTGTTCAAAGTGTGACTGTAGTAATAATATTGGAGGCAAAGAAAGAAAGAAAAAGGCTTTTTCGTTTTTAGGAATGAATTACCTGAGTGGCGAAACCAACACCAACACCTAACAAAAAATTCGACCGATATGAGCATAGCGAGGTGAACAGCAAAGGCATGAGAAGAGCACCGCACAGAAGACGCAACCGCCATAAGCATGGAAAAACTTGCGGCCAGTTTCTTGGTCATTGTCGACGCAAAAAGGACGCCAAAAAGGAGCAGCCAAATACAGAGACGACGTAAAACCATGGTCAGCGTTTGGCTGTTGAACCTTGCAGTACTGATTGGTGACTGATCGCGAGTTCTTCCTTCCGATACACAGACGGGAAAAAACTTCTCAAGAAACGGACCCATCACGATGTCACCCCACCTAATCATCGTAGCAACACAGTAATCAATATCATATTATATATGTATAGGACAAGATTGATTTTTTCAACAGTAGGAGAACTGTGAAAGAATTGAAGATTTATTAAAGTTGGAAGAACGGCTTACCAGAATACCGATGCGTACCAAAAAAATCAGACCACCATGGCGGCGACGATCAAGTTACGGACGACATACCAAGTAAGTTTTCCAGGATAAATCTTCGGGGAATTCGTCACCAGCAGGAATGATAAGAGCACCAGGCCATTGCTTGATTGAAGAATTAAGACAAGGAACAGAAAGAAGGACGAGGAGGCGTATAGCAGTAATCGAAACTAAAAAAGCCAGAGAGAAGAGCGAGAGTTGGGTTTGTAGGGCATGATGGTTAGGGGTGCTTATATAGGAATTCGATCCCCGGGTGCCCCTTTCTTGCGGGCATCCTGGAGCCCTCCAATGCCAAGCTATAGAGTGAGATCAATGTGAAATGAAATCATTTTAGGGATTTGAAGTGCCAAGGAATGGAACCTCTCTGTTTTCACTAATCCGGACAGGGGCTTGATTTCTTGTCTGTTTGGGAATGCCAGCTAATTAGGTTAGTTTAGACCAATTTTTTTATTTTTAATTTTTTTTATCTTTACTGATTTTTTTTTTTAAATTATAGTATTAAAATTTTTTATCTTCCGCATCATTTTTGTGTAACAAAAAATGCTTTAGACCACTAAATTTAGTGGTGGCTCTAATGATGTTGGGTAGTGGGTCCCACCCACTGCCACATGTGTTTTGTGCCTTGTTCTTTTTTTTCTTTTTTTTGCCAAATTGCCACCTCACTAAGTGGTGGTATTAAGTGTGGCTAAATTAGTGGTCATTTATAAGCATTGCTCTTTGTGTAACAAATCTAAAAAGTAAAAAAATTAAAAATGAAAAATGAAAAAGCTAAATAAGTCCCAAAAAAAATTACTAAAATAAGTTCCAAAAAATACTATTTTTTTAAATCTTTTCATTAATTTTTAAATTTTTTATTGATTATTTCGTTCAACTGAAATTGGAAGCATAAAAAAAAAGGGGAAAAAGTTAGGGAAATATAAATTTTGTCATGGAAAATAAACATGAAAGATCTGTGACCCTTGGATTACACTTAGAATAAAGCACCGGGGATCCGATTCCTGACAAATTTTTCATGATGATTTTCATGACAAAAATTTCATGATCCCTAACTTTTCCCTTTTTTTTATGCTTCCAAATTCAGTTGAACGAAATAATCAAAAAAAAAATTTTTAAAATTATAAAGAATTTAAAAATAGTATTTTTTGGACTTTATTTTAGTAATTTTTGGGACTTATTTAGCTTTTTCATTTTCATTTTTATTTTTTTTACTTTTTAGATTTGTTACACAAAGAGCAATGCTATAGACCACTAATTTAGCATCACTAATTTACCACCACTAGTGAGGTGGCAATTGCAAAAAAAAAGAAAAAAAAAAAGAACAAGGCACAAAACACATGTGGCAGTGGGGGACCCACTACCACATCATTAGAGCCACCACTAATTAGTGGTCTAAAGCATTTTTGGTACACCAAAATGATCGGAAGAATAAAAAATTTTAATACTATAATTTAAAAAAAAAAAATCAGTAAAGATAAAAAAAATTAAAAATAAAAAATTGTCTAACTAACTAATTAGCTGGCATCCAAACAGACAAGAAATCAAAGCCCTGTCCGGATTAGGAAACAGAGAGTTCCATTCCTTGGCACTTCCAAAATCCTAAAAATGATTCAATTTCACATTGACTCTCACTCTATAGCTGGCATTTGGAGGGCTCCAGGATGGCCCTGCAAGAAAGGGGCACCGGGGATCCGAATTCCTATATAAGCACCCCTAACCATCATTGCTAACAAACCCAACTCTCGCTCTTCTCTCTGCTTTTTTAGTTTCGATTACTGCATATACGCCTCCTCGTCCTTCTTTCTTGTTCTTGTTCTTATTCTTCAATCAAGCAATGGCTGGTGCTCTTTATCATTCCTGCTGGTGACGATTCCCCGAAAGATTATCCTGGAAAACTTACTTGGTATGTCGTCGTAACTTGCATCGTCGCCGCCATGGGTGGTCTGATTTTTGGCTACGACATCGGTATCCTCTGGTAAGCCGTTCTTTCAACTTAATAAATCTTCAATTCTTCACAGTTCTCCTACTGTTGAAAATCAATCTTGTCTATACATATATATATATGATATTGATTACTGGTGTTGCTACGATGATTTAGGTGGGGTGACATCGATGGGTCCGTTTCTTGAGAAGTTTTTCCCGTCTGTGTATCGGAAGAAGAACTCGATCAGTCAACCAATCAGTACTGCAAGTTCAACAGCCAAACGCTGACCATGTTTACGTCGTCTCTGTATTTGGCTGCTCTTTTGCGTCCTTTTTGGCGTCGACAATGACCAAGAAACTGGGCCGCAAGTTTTCCATGCTTATGGGCGGTTGGCGTCTTCTGTTTGCGGTGCTCTTCTCAATGCCTTTGCTGTACACCTCGCTATGCTCATCATCGGTCGAATTTTGTTAGGTGTTTGTGTTGGTTTCGCCACTCAGGTAATCATTCCTAAAAACGAAAGCTCTTTCTTTCTTTCTTTGCTCCAATATTATTACTACAGTCACACTTTGAACACAATAACGAAAGCTCTAACTTGTTTGTTTCAAATTACATTACAGTCAGTGCCACTGTTTGTATCGAGATGGCTCCACATAGATACCGCGGAACCCTCAACGTCTGCTTCCAACTATTCATCACAAATCGGCATTCTGATTGCCGGTCTGGTCAACTACTTCACCAACATGATCAAGGGCGACTTGGGCTGGCGCATCAGCTTTTGGCGGTGCCCGCTGTTCCAGCCCTCCTCATGATCTTCTCATCTCTCTGGGTCTCCGAAAAACCCCAAACTCCCTCATCGAGAGAGGCCATTTGGACAAAGCCAAGAAGCAGCTCCAGCGCATCCGTGGAGTCGCCGACGTCCAGCCGAGTTCAACGATCTGGTGGATGCGAGTGCAGCCTCAAAGGAAGTGGAACACCCATGGAGAGACCTATCCATGAGGAAGTATAGGCCCTCAGCTTTGTTTGGCTATTTGATTCCCATGTTTCAGCAACTCACTGGGATCAATGTGGTTATGTTCTACGCTCCTGTGCTGTTCAAGACCATTGGGTTTCATGAGCAATGCTTCGCTTGCATCGGCCATGATCACCGGTGGTGTGAATGTTCTTGCCACATTTATCTCTGTTTTTTGGACTGATAGTTGGGGGAGGAAACCCCTGTTTCTATGGGGAGGTGGCCACCATGATTGTGTTTCAGGTAATCCTTGTAACCAATTCTTTTTCCTCCATCGTCTTTCTATTTATGTATTGAATTTTTTTTTTTTTTTATGATGTATTATTTATATATGCAGAGTGCAGTAGCAGTTCTTATTGGTACTAAATTTGGGAGTAACAGGAGATGCTACCGATTTGGGAACACTTATATTCAAGCATCCTAGTATGTTTGTATCTGCATTTTCGTCACAGCTTTTGCATTCTCATGGGGTCTCTGGGATGGTTAGTGCCCAGCGAAATCTCCCTCTAGAAATTCGGTCATCTTGCGCAGAGTGTCGTCGTGGCCGTTGAATATGTCATTCACTTTCCTCGTTGCCCAACTCTTCCTTGCTGCTCTTTGTTATGGTCAAGTACGGCTTAATTCATCATCTTTGCGGGTTTAGTGCTAATCATGAGCCTCTTCGTCATCTTCTTCGTGCCGGAGACCAACAATATACCCATCGAGGAAATGTCACAAGTGTGGAGAGGGCACTGGTACTGGAAAAAATTTGTTGATGATGAAAAGGAAATCGAGATGAAGAATGGAATGCCTTAGAAAGATATACATAGCTAGCTCGTATTTATTTGTATTTCTTTTTGGGTTTTAGATTTTTTTTTTTCATTAGAAAGATATACATAGCTAGCTCGCATTTATTTTGTATTCTCTTTTTTGGGTTTTTAGGATTCTTTTATATAATTTTACTAGTCTTATTACATTTATTTTGTTTTGTATGTTTGCAAGTGTTTGTATTGTTTTTATTTTATTTTTTTGCTTCACCTTTGTGAGCAAGGTTGCTTTTGGCGGGCAACAATATTATGAATTTAGACTTAATTGCTTGAAAATTATGAACTCACAAATACAAATTTAATCTCTACATAAATCACTCACCCATAAAAGTCTTGGTGATTTCACAGTTGGAAAAAGTTACATTTATTTTTTCAAACTTTTGTTTTTAGTAATTTTTTAAAATTTATGTCAAATTTTTTATTTTTCAATTTAGTCTAATTTAGAAGGAATTAAAAAAAAATTACAAACAAAATAAATAACTTTTTTTTCTTTCTTTAAATGGCTTTTTGCTTTTTGTTTGTTTTAGGCCCATCTCATCTAGTAAAATCTAAATGTGATTTTTTTTTTAAATAATAATAAAAAAATTCACTAAATTAATATATTAGCATACATGAAAGATTTGGTTATTCCATACTCCATGTTTGTTGAAAAAGGCAGTCTTTCTGGTAGTTTTCCTTAATTTTTTAAAATTTTATTTGGTTGCCTAGCATTGTTTTTCGTTTTGTATTTTCTAATATTAATTGTTGTAGTTGGGCTATAAGAAAGTTTGTGGAAAATGCTACTTTCATATCGTTAGATTTTGATTATTGGTGTAAAACAAATCAAGTTAAACTTGTTTAAAAGTGCATTCAAGATCGCTTGTTATTTAAACAAATCAAACTTGAATACAATTTCAACGCCAAAATTACTATTATTTTACTTGGTAATCTTATTTTACATTATAAAAATCTAAGCCACTATAATCATTTAAGATTGACTTGAAAATCAAATTTATTATAACATATAGGAGTTTTAGGGACCAAACTTTTGTATAAAAAAATAAAAATTTTGCTACAAAAAAAACATTTGGGGGACTAATTCTTGTCGTCATCCGAAATGTTGGGAAAAAAA